TACACTAACCATCTCCTTCTTACTGATTTAATTCTCAAAAACAAATACCAGCTAAAATCTAAATTCTCTGTAAAACAAAATAAGTACTTAAAAGTAAAGCAATATTACTTTTTGTCCTCTCCCTTCTTTGCTCTCTCATAAAAATTTATAAATTAAATTGTCCTCTCTTACTCTGTTTTCCTTTTTGAATCAGCACTGCTTCTGCTACTCATTCATACCCTCTTCCTTAATTGACTCCTTTACATACCTTCTCCTATTTCATACCTTTCCAAATTATCTCCTTTTCAACAAAACACTCAAACTATTAAAATGAACCTCACGGTTCAATTCCTGTGTCAATTTCAATCTGTTTTTTATAATGAATATAAATACAAAACTCAATAATAACCCATAAATTATTTTAAAAATCTCTCTCGTGTATAATTCTTTTTAATTTTTTTACTGTTATTTAATTAAATAATGTTTTTTTACATTTACACATTTTCCAATAAAAACTAAACACATACCCAGTCATCCCATTTGTCCACATTAAAAAATAAAGATCCACTCCAGAATGTACAAATATCTCTTTAACAAATGTTTTTCTATATGTACAAAGTTATAATTTCTTCCATTTAAATCCTTTAAAATAATCTCCTCCCTTCTACCTCAAAAATCTCCAGAATTCTCTAGAAATGATTTGCCAATTCTTGTACACAAACCTTGTCTCCTACTTCACTTTAAAGTCCATTCTCATGGATTCACTTTTTATCACCACTTAATTCATACTTTACCATATACTTTACTACTATTTATTGATTCACAAAATCCTTCTTTTATTCCCCCACCCCTTAAAATCTTATTTTCAATTATCACAGAAACTTTCCACTTTTCAGCATATAATTAAAACTCTTTCTAGAGTCAAACTCTGCACAGATATCAAACAGCACAGTCTAGGGACAAGGAGAAACACTGATTTCTGACTGGAGGGGGACTTTAAAAACACCAAACCCAGTTTGCTCTTTGTGCATTACTTCAAAATAAAACAGTAATGCATTTGTTTATTTCATCACAGGACACAAATAAAGACAAAACCGAAATGAAAAATAAGAAAACTGACATTTCTTCTCTTTCCACTTTGTCATAAAACAATATTTTTTTTTATTTGGACACTTAACTTTATATACTGAACCAGTACACAGCAGATACTTAAAGCAATGTTTTTGAAGAAATGAAAGCGCCTTAACTTTAGCACAACCTGTGCACCAACCTCTAGTATTCCTGTAACTATGAACTGAAAACAAAAGACCTGGTCCAGCTCATAAAATACCTTCATTTTTAAACCAAAACCAATTTTAGCATTATGTGATTTGAGGGGGGGTTTGGGGTTCAAGGCTTTAGGGGAAGTTAAAATTTGTTTAAGCCGACAGACAGGAGTGGACTGATCAGAGAGAAAGCAGGCAGCGATGAGCCAACACTCATAGCTCTACTGCTTTACTCTGCAGACCATACTGTCCATATGTGTGCATAAAATCAGTGTGTGTATGTTTGTGTGTGCAAGTGTGTGATGGGTAGTTCTATGACAGACAGGGCAGTCATAATATCCACATCAGTTCCTGGTGGATGGAGATGCTCTGGACTCTGCTCCTTGCTCGGGCCTGATAGAACGCTGGAACACCCCTCCGCTCGTCTTTTTTCCTTCTTCCTTTTTTCATCCCGTTAACAAACAGCATTGGTTTCTCCTCAGGCTTTGATCTCAGGGGCTGTGTACAGCTGCTCAGAGTTCTCTGCCCCCAGGTCCTCTGAGGAATGGCAAGACAAAAAAAAACCCCAGCAAGAATTAGAAAAATCATACCGATACTTAGATATGCCACAATACTGTATTATATAATAATACATTCACATCTGAGTCTGTGGATTGAGAGGGGTTTTTTTGTCTGACGACAGGGAATACAATAGAGAGGTGATTTACAGCGGATGCAACCAGGACTCCAGGGATGATGAAGACACAGCTGGGACATGAAAGGGCATCAAGTGGACATCTAACTTGATTTATTTAGACCAAACCAGAGTTGGTGATTGTTGGAACAGTGGAAAGGTGTTTGCATAACGGTGCCTGACTGGAAAATGTTAACATTCTGTCCAAACCTAGTGTTTACCAAACACTAATTAAGTCAGACTTGTGTCTGTCTAGTCCCCCAACTTTTTGAAAGTGCAATATTAATGCTCTAGAGTATAGCTTTAATATCTCCTTAATGAAACAATATCAAAAATCTGAGGAGTCTTGTGGAAAACACCTGACTTTGTATTCCCAGTCCATACAGGTGGTGTTTTTGAAGCCAGTATTTTGTGGCAGTTAGAGAAATTGCAAGATTTTGATGTGTGTTCAATGTCATATAGCTTGTTGCATCCAGCAGTGACGACAGTAACGAGTGATCAAAGAGTTTTACCAGGAAGGACACACTTCCACAGGCCATAAGTTTTGCCTACGGCTGTCTGCCACAGTCGGAGCGTGCCGTCCTCAGAGCCACTGGCGTACAGCTCACCATCCGGACTGAAGCGAACACAGTGCACTGGACCAAAGTGACCCTTATAGGACTCTGCAGACAGAGGGACAGCAACAGCATCATGTGGGAGTGGTAAAAAAATTGACCTTTGAATATTTTGCTTTCTCACAGTTACTTTGACAGGAAACCATTAGAAATCTAGACATCCTGTTTTCCTACATTTTACAAGTTTATTTTTACATGGTCACTGAATCTTTTATACATTGTGTATTGAACAAGTTTTTAAAATGAACAAACCTTCAGCCATACACACTTAAATCATTATCTTCCTAAAGCTCTAACAGGAGTAAGGTCTCTAAAATGATCCAAAGTCTTAAGAAAAAGCTTTCCCCTGCTTCTCACCCAGTTCTTCCTTGGTGCTGTAGTCAAATTTGTAGAGCTTGAAGTCTTCTCCGCCAGCAACAAAGAAATCCTTCTCTGGGTGGAGGGAGGCTGAGTTGATGGGAGCCGGGGCCTCCACCAACTTGATCAAATCCAGGCTGGAATGGTGACAAAATCATTTTAATGAGTTTATGTAACTGTGGAGAAGCTAGAGGTCTACAGTCAGCCCAGAAGAAAGATTGTCACACATTTATTGGCCTTTGAAAACATTATACCTGTGTACACAATAAAGCTTTTCAGAGTGGATCTATTAAAAAACAGGGTTCCAGACTTTTTCAGTCTCAAATTTCCAGACTTCTCTGTATGTTTCAGACCATAATTGACATCTGAATACAAAAAACTAGTTGTTTGTTATATAAACAAATAGTTTGAAAATCCAACTGTTAATATGTATGCAACATTCTATGTATGCTATTATGTTGTCTAATAACTGCCAGAAGTACGGACTGTAGCTTCATACTATAGATCATACAAAACAGCTTTCTTGTCCCATTTGGAATCCAGGTTTTATATTTGGGATTTTCAAGCAACCCTCAGAAAACATACATTTACCTGTTTTAGCTGTTCATTCCACACTGCTACGTTCCACTGTCAAACAGTGTCCAAAGAGGAAGTAAATTAACTGCTGCTACCCATTACCTCTTTCCACAGCAACTTACCTGAATAACAGGATGAATAAGATCATTATGTGACCACCCCAACACACGTGAAATTGTTGTTAGTAAGCCGGTCATCCAGCCATATGTCACACACATTGATGGCGTACATCTACACAACAGGACAAAAATAAACCCAGAGACACATTTATAAATTGGCCTTATCACTGAAAGTGAGGCTCCATTCTCATTTATACACTCTCTGTTTGAATCGTGGAAAAAAAAACCTGGCTATTACATTTGCAGCAGATACATATTTTCTCTTAGTCAAAGAGCTGTATCTGATTTACGGGGATAGTGGAGGGTTTCTGAAGGCATGCAGAGAAAAAAACATGAGGGCATAAATAAAAGAAGCAATATGCCTACAAGGGGGGAGAGACCTGAACACAAATAAATGTAGCTTGAGGAACTATGTGCATTTGTTAAATTGGTTCTGATGACTTATAATCAGGAATATGATAATAATTGACTCGAAATAAAAACACATTGCAAAAGTAGCATTTAAATTAGACAGCGAGTGGCAGCAGCAGAGTAATTAACCACTTTAACATCCCCTGTGACAATCAATGAACCTTTCGCAATCTCCATGACTCAGGATTTACATGTAATGCTGTGTTTGGCATATTGAGGAGCTAGGAAGAAAGAGGCCTAAAGGTGCCTCAGGGTGATAATCAGGGATGGAAAGTAAAAGTACGGTTGAAGTCCACATGAAATGCCTTTTTAACTCTTTGAGATTCCATCCTCAAAAGTCTCATTCATCTGGACTTCAACCGTATATGTGTCATATTGTACACATATTTAACCATGTATGCCAATACATTTACAAAAAATCCTTTTCTTTGTATTTTTCTATTGGCATCCTATCATTTTTTTGTTTTTCCTGTAAAACAAAATGTGATGCTTATGTGATCCAACCAATTTCAAACAATAATATCATAACATTCACTTGTCAATCAGCTCTTAGTGATACAGAGCGAAGATTCATTAGCTAGCTAACTAACAGCATTGCTTTCTGCTAGAGCCATCAATGATGAGAACAAAAACACAACTAACCCAACCATATTACCCAAGTTTGTCACCTGTGAACAACTGAACCATCTCAGTGACAACTGAGCAAACTCCATCTGCTGATGGAAGCACCGAAATGTGCTTGAAATCTCCTGACTGCAGATGTCCTGATGCCGATTCTGATGCCTGAACTTGGCTGATCCGACAGACCCTTTATCAAGGTCCTAGGAAAAATAACAGCAAACTGGACACTGTTGGGAAGTAGCAAGGTCCCATTTTGGGGCTTATAAATTATGAGGTATCGTATAGGTGCATACTTTAGACATACATACTCGCCAATACTGCAGTAATGGATGAATTTTAGATTTTCTGCAGTTTCAGAGCAATTCAAATGTCAACCTGTTTCCAAGGCCAAGAATGAACCTTCAATCCAATTCAACACTGAAACAACTCCTCTCTAAAACAATCCCAGCATAAACTGAACAGCACAAGCTAAAGAAAAGTATTGTTTATTCATGGGATGTATTTCATTCAGTTATATATAGTTCTTGTTTTTTTGTCCACCATCTATACATGTCTTTGTTAACTGGGTCACACAAACATAATATCTGACTATATATTATCATATCATCATACATCTGTGTGGTTTCTTTTTATAGCCTCCTCCACACACTCAGCAAAGAGTAACTGCAAATTGGATTTCTCTTTCAGAGGAAGTCACAAACTTACTTTGATGTTCCCTCATTGAGTTACCCTGCATGAGTGCAATCTAGCAATCCAGCGAGGAAGAGAAGAAAGTACATACCAAAGGTATGTGGTAAGACATCAAAAGCCTAATTTCAGCTAGTACGGGAGAAATTCGTCCGGGTGATCGTTCCTTAGGTCACACTGAAATGTCTACTCAGTGGATGCTTTTTTTTGGTTATAAACATTTCAGAGAGTGGGATGCTTTGGAGGCAGCAATAATCTCATTGGCATGGTGACTTTGTGGTTTCTACCTTCAGCTCACAGAAAGAATGCTGGCCTTGAATCTGAGCCCTGGTCCTTTCTGTAAAGATTCACCATTTCCTTCTTATATGGATTTTTTTTTTTTAAACTGATTTTACCATGACATTTGGTTTTAAAACATCATGAATTTCAAGACGTTTGTGGATTCTGTCTCTCATTAGTCTTTCATGATGGCTTTCTGACAAATATATTCCTATGTGGGATATCCCACATATCCCTCAGTTCAATCTGATTATCAAGCTACAACTTTTCATGCATTTTTCAACTGACAGGGGTAACGCTGGGAATGCACTTTCTCTTGCTGACAGTTTGACACAACTCTTGTTGGGTGTTACAGGGTAATGTGCCAGACTATTTCTTACTTATTTTCTTACTATCTCTAACCTGACCCTCTCAGGTGTCCTGGAATACACTTCTCCCGGCTAGAACATGACCCTACCTAAAAGCACAAAGAAACCTGCCTACAATAATAACAGTACGTACTGATTTGGCCAAAATGTAGCATGAAGTGTGCAGTATGCATCAAAAGCTAAATCTGCAGTATGCCAAAAATACCTGTAAGTTGTACTGATTCTGACAAAATCTGCACTGGACTATACCCCGCCTACTTTGTCATACAATGCAAAGTGCTGGAATGATCACAACAGAACCAAAAAAATGTTGTTGTTTTTCTGAGCAGAGAACTTCAACACACGTTGCAATTGCATTGAAGTAATGCAACAAAGCGCTGGTGAATCTGGTTCCTTCAATCATTAGTTTCAGTTTCATTCTGCATATTACTAATAAAACCAGTATTCAGTATGTACTACATACACACATTATATCAATAAGCACAGAACAAATAGCAATTAAGAAAAGCACAACAACTAATTATAGCCCTGCTTAGTATGAATGCTATTTTGTTTTGTTTGATCCTGCTAACTTATTGTCAATTTGCTGAAGAACACTTGATTCTGGCTATAAGGTTAAGAAAAGTTGAAGTTCAATGTGACATAACAGGGAGCAGGTTGGATGGGCAAATTAGTATTTCCCAGCAATCCTTCTTCCCTCTATAACATTAGTGTAATCATATGGAAGACTGCATGACCTTTGTAACCCATTAGGCCCCAGTTGAACCATTTTTACTTACGCCACTGTTTACACTTCTGTTTTTGTACAGATTACACAGAAGAGACATAACATGTTAATTACTGAGCATTGGATAGCTGTTTTCTTGTTTCCATTTTTCATGCTAAGCTAAGCTTATCATCTCCTAGCTGTAGCTTCACATTTTAACATACAGACATGAGAGTGGTATTAAAAACAGTGTTTTTTCCAAAATGTCGAATTATTCCTTTAGTATTGCCTTTGGTCAGAAAACATGTTATTTGTCTTCAGCTGTCGATTGTTAATTCAGCCACCAGCTGCAGCCCCTCCCACACAAGTTTGCAGAATGAAACATTCAGCCTGCACACTGTGTTTATTTGCCTCTGCTCTCTGTGGTCCAACCTGCAAATATTAACTACTCAGCTCATAAAACACTCCCTCTGTAGAGGACTTTCAAATAATAAAACAATTTAAAGAAAGTAGTTTTATGGAAGGTGACTGTCACTGAGGTAACTGAGAGCCCTGGTGTCACACACATATGAGTATGGCGACCTTCGGTGTTTGTGCTGTAACTCCTCTGCAGGGATGAGGAGGATGCCCTGCAGCATGATTAAGAATTCCCTGCCGGCTGCTGGCTGCTGCATTAGTATGGATGCTGAGTAGGTGTAAGTCCTCTCTTGATGCTGTGACCCTCGGCTGCTGTCAGGTATGCGAGACGCCTTCATCCAGACAAGGAGTAACTGCAAACACTTAAGGATGATAACAGACAGGAAGCTCAGAAGTAATGAGACCACAGAGAGTCCAAAAGTGCCTCCTCATTGTCTAGACACCTTATAGGCCCCTGTGCCCGCCCCTCCAATACACACTCTCTCACACACACACTATCACTTCATCTGCGAGTTCATTTCCATTCTGAGCGCTCGATGCTGGTGGGTCAAAGCCCTGATTGTGTGGAGAGCTGATGAAGGCAGAGGCTCTCACTTTCCTGGGCCTTTTTTGTGAAGGAGGAGGCTTCCCTCGGGCTCCCTCCTCTTACATCACAGCCCCCTGGCTGCAGCAGAGAGGACATAAACATATTCATAGCAGCCACAGCAGCCCCTGGACTGCTTGAAATACGCCTGCTAAGGGATGATGCAGGTAAAGAGCCGGTGGAGCTGGGGGATGAAGGGGGAGGGGAGGGTGTTGGATTAGATGCATTTGTTTCCCCCCTGGCCACTTCCATTCAACCAGTGGCAAAATGTGACTGTTAGCAGAACCTTTTTTTAAATCATGTTTATTTTCCATCCAGTTGCCTTCACAGCAGAGCCAATGAGAATGAACATGAAAAATTCATCCAAATT